CGCAACAAGTACCATCATGCCCCCCCATGGATAGCAGGCACACCAGGGAGGGAGGCACCGAGTCGGCGAGCAGACAGACAGCCAGCCAGCAATGCGTCGGTCGTTGATTGATGTGAGAAAACCACTCAGCCGATGTCTAGTCGAGATGGGTGTGTGTGTGTGGTGGATACCGTGTCGCCGCAAGTAAACCCCAGCCAGACAGCCAGCCAGCCAGGTAGTCAGTCAGTTAGAGCCAAAAACGCTAGTCACGAATCAGCATGAGGTGGGCGGATGAGTGGATGGATGGATAAGTCAGTCACGGCGCAGATGCGTCCCGTCCCGTCCCGTCCCGTCCCGTCACGTCACGGGCGTCATTCATCGTTTGTGTGTGCTTGTGACGGGTGAAGGCATGATTGGTTCCCCCTCATATGAGACTATCACCTCATGGATTGTATCCTCCCACACGCCTCACGTCATCCCTCCATCCATCCATCCCTCCATCCATCCATCCATGCCTTCACTCGTCCACACACACAACGCAACACAACACAGCACAGCACAGCACAACACATAGGCAAACTCTTCCCCGCCAGAAAACACACTCACACTCGCGCAAAGACACAGCAGCAACCAGTCAATATGCAGCAGGCAGGCAGGCAGGCAGCAAGACAAAGGAAGGCCCCAAGTGAGGCACCGAGCATCCAGCCAGCATCACAAATATACCTACCGGCAATGGCGTGGTGTGGTATGGTGTGATGTGATGTGTCAAGGCAGAGAGAAGGGCTCACTGACTGACTGACTGACTGCGACAGAGAGAGAAAGAGACGAGACCAGACGAGATGAGAGGAAGGACGAGGCGCATAGCGTGAAGATGAGCAGAGAGTGTCAATCAAACGTCAGAGCAAATGCGGTGTGTGTGAGTGTCCGAGCAAGAGTGAGCCTCAGAGAGAGACGGGGGGGGGGTGTATGGTGGCCGCGGTGGCAGCTGGGATGAGCTGCGTGGCATACTAAGTGTCTGCCTGCAGGTCTGCAGGGGGGGAGGGAGGGAGGGAGGGAGGGATGGTGAGTCAGGGTGTGTGAACAAATGCGACTGAATGAATGGGCAGGGACGACACGGCTGCATCGCATCGCTGCCCTGTGCACGCGCACGCACACACTCACTCACACCACACACACTGACAGACACAAGTACGAACAAACAAACACGACACAACACGACGGGGGCTGCGGGCGATGTTTCCATTTCCTTCCTCTTCCCTGCACGTTTGTCTGTCTGGCTGGCTGGACCGGTCAGCTATCTAGGGGTCCACACTACCACACACACCTTGCCTGCGCACAGACGCGAGGGAGTGTCGATCAGGTGAGTGAGCACTGCACTGACTACCCGTTCACTGGTCTCTACAGCAAGAAGCCAGTAAATGAGTGGTTCCTCTCTGTCCGCGGCTGGGGGGGGCCGGTCCACGCAGTAGCTGCGCTCATGTGTGCCCTCCACCCATCCATCCATCCATACATACATCGTCTGTGCTTGCACATGTGCCTTAAAAAGGGCTACAGTCGGTGGTCGGTGGGTGGTTCACAGTCACTTCGCCTTGTGTGGTGTCGTGTGTGCCTTGCCAAGTCATTCATTCATTAAGGCAGCAAACCAAAGGAAGGAAGCACGATGGATGCTCCCTCCCTCCCTCCCTCCCCGGCACCAACACAGTATGATTGATATAAAGAGAGATACCCCTCGATCTAGTGTTAGTCCCTGTCCCGACAGACAGACAGACAGACACGCATCTGAGCAATCAATCAACCAATCCATCCATCCATCCAACTAAGCTACCCAGACCGACTGCAAGAGCGGCCCGACACGGTGACTGACGGGCACCCACTGCACTCCCTCTACCCCCCTCTAGCCACTGAGAGAGTGAGGGAGTCGGTCGCATTGGCTGGCTGCCCGAGGGAAGGCGAGCAAAAAATCGCAGCGACACACACACGACACAGTGGGGTAAGTGGGAGAAGCCGATGCACTCACCCGCCGTCATTCGCAGCCCTTGATGCAGGCGGGCATCGGTCGAGACAAATGAAACACCCACGCTCCCGCACGCGGCCACCATGCCATGCACACAGACAAGAGAGGGAGAGAAAGGCCGCACAGACAGACAGAAGGCAAGCAAAGCAGGCAGGCTGGCCGGTCCTCAATCCCAAAAAAAAGCCCCATGCACCCCACGCGATGGATGGGTGACTCTCTCTCTCTCTTTCATCCGATGGATTGGATGGATTGCCAGGCAGGACACACAAGGACAAGGAAGCCACACAAGGGAAGAGCAAAACCCCTGAATGCAATGTCCCTGTGTCGAGCTCAGGTAGGCAGGCACGCACGGAGCGTGGGAGAAACGCAATCGATCAACCAGGCACGCCACGGCACGCATGGTTAAATAAAGGCACACACCCCTCCGCACACGCACACACACACACACACACGCACGCATGATGGGTCGCATGGACGGCATTCGTTCAAGAATGAATCAGGCAGGCATGCAGGCGGGCAGGCATGGCTCACTAAAACACCGAGTGGTCGATCGACCGAGAGCGCGTGTGTGTGCGCGCGTGAGTGAGTACCGAGAGAGACGAGCAGAGAAGAGGCAGGGAGGCACGTGATTGACTAACTTTGCGGGCTGTCTTGTTTGTTTGTGTTGGGAGGGAGGGAGGGAGGGAGGGAGGGAGCATCAACGAAAAATGGTATGGAGTGGGTCGGTGGGCTGAGTGAGAGACAGACGGGGCAGAGAGAGAGAAAGAGAGAGAGCATGAATGGATGGATGAGATCCAGCTAGGCTGGTGAGTGAGCATTGAGTGCGTGCATTGCGTCCCCTTTCCCATCCCAAGCGCCCACCATCCACCCCATTACACATACAGACGCGTGGTGCACATGCAATATACCTGACATATGACATGACATGCAGGCAGCCAATCAATACATACATTACCCTACTCAACGATTCAACGACACACGGAGGTTTGGTCTCTTATATAAATGGCCGCCCAGCAGCTGCCTGCCAGCCAGCCAGCCAGCCAGAGAAGCATCGAGAGTCAGTCAGTCAGTCAGACAGACAGACAGCAAGGGAGTGAGAGAGAGGGGTGCAAATGTGAGCATAGACCGACTGACACGACGGACTCACTGGCTCGGTCGGGCTGCAGGCACTGATGTGGTGGTGGGTGGTTTGCCAACAAATAGCTAGCAGCAGCAAGTGGATACGCATACACACACACACACAGAGACATATGCACACACACAGAACTACACACGCACACACGGGGGCGGAGCTGCTGGCCGCCGCGATGCAGACCGGCCTCAACCAGTGGAAGCTCGCTTCTTTGTCCTCACCCCCTGCTTGCTTAAACCATCACCCTCGACCCCCCGCTGGCCATCTCATCACTGTCCGTGCGCGCGAAATGTGCGTGTGAGTCGAATCATCCACCCACCATCCACCATATACCCTACAGATCGCACACAAGCCAGGCAGGCAGGCAGGCAGGCAGGCGGGCAGAGGAAGACGGGCGGCCACTCACTCAGCGAGTCAGCCAGTTTGCTTAGCGTCCCACGCTTTTCAGAGGTACAGCTAGCTGTGTGCAGCGAGTCGGCACACACACACATCCACACACACACATACATAGGGAGGCAGAGACATACACACACACATACACACACAGGGGTCAAGGTGGCCCACCGAGCAGCCGAGAGAGAGAGGGTGGACGATACAAACGGACAGACAGACAGCAGGCGAAAAAGACGCGCGTTGTCGACCGACCGACCGACCGACAGACAGACACACAGGCGCGTGTGGTGGTTGCTGGCTTGTGGGGGTGCTTTGTCACGATGCGTGGCCGCAATCGAGCCGATGGTCTGTCTGCATGCCTTGCCCCACACACCACAAACCACACACCACACCCACACGCTCCACGTAAACTAGCCAATAAGATATATGGGATAGATACACAGGCCAACCGACAGACAGATGCGCAGACAGACATACATACAGACCGACAGACCGACCGACCGGCATACACACAATCTCTCTCGTCGTGTCATGAAACGCACGCGACAAAACCGACACACACACACACACGAAGACCTGCGTAGCTCGCTGACAGGTTGAAATACACCCCACCCCACCGCACCCCACCACACCGCACACCCATCCGAGCGAAGGAAGGAAGGAGGCAGAGGAAACCGGCAGTGAGTGGATGAGTGAGTGAGTGAGTGAGCTGGCGCAAAAATCCCCGCAGCCAAGACAAGACAAGCCAAGCCAAGCCAAGACAAGACAGACAGACAGACGGGCAGACGGGCAGACGGGCAGACGGGAAGCCCCCACGCAGCCAGTAAGCCAGCGCGCATAAATGCATCGACCAACGAGCCGTGTGGATGGATGGATGGATGGATGTGGCCGTGTGGATATATGCGCGAGTGTGGCGAAATGCGGCAGGAAATGTGTGTGTGTGGCCATGAATTTGAAACCATTCAGATAGACAGACAGACAGGACACCAGACCACCCCACACACATCGACACACACGTGCATCACACAAGCCAAGCCAAGCCAGCCCCTCAGTAGCACCCACCAAGTAGCACCAAGCAACACAACTCAGTAGTCAGCTGACGTATGTAACATGCGTCACCATCACATCACATTACATTACATTACATGGCCAGCAGCTGCACGCAAGGCAAGCGCCCACACGATGAATGAGAGAAACCCCACACACACCACACCACACCACACACATGTGTGCATCATCACATGGGTCGACGCAGGCAGGAGATCGATCTCAGAGGCAGGGCAGGGCAGGGCAGGGCAGAGGTAGCAAGTGAGTGACAGACAGCCAGCCGAATTCTCTTCCATCCATCCATCCATCCATCCGATGCACCCATCACGTTCTTGAATGCACCTCGCTGTCCACCGCATCATTGTAGTCGTGTGCACTTAGATATAGCTTATGCCATCCGATCCAGGCAGCGACCCGGGTACTCTCTGTCTACGCCTGTGTGCTCCTCGCCCGCCGTCACTGTCTGTGTGGGTGTGGGGGTCATTGATGGGCTTGTAGATCGGTCAGGGGGTGCGTCGGTGTCTGTGCCGCAGCAGGTACGTCGCACCCTCTTGCTGCACACACACACACACACACAGACGGACAGGGAAGCAGAGCCAGTGGCTGAGCAAGTAGCTTAGCTCCTGTGTGTGCGCTTCCCGACGCACCTGAGTGGTCTCGAGTAGCTTCGTTCGCACGTCGGGGTCATCCAGATGCTGCGAGTGGATCACCTGCACACCACAGCCAAAACCACACACGAAGGAGGCAAGAGATCAAGGCAGGCATATGCTCTGCGTGGATTGGGGGGCATCCCCTCACTCACCAGGTGAATGAGTTTGTGTGCGATTTCCATGACGTTGACGCCTTCGGCGATGATGCCCATGTCGCCCTCGGCCCCCCCTAGCTGTCCACTGTCGGTCATGGAAGATGCGTCGCTGTCGCCGTTTGTCGACTCGCTCTCGTCGTAGTGCATGCGATTCAACAGACTACTGTACTCCAACTGACCACACCACACGATGCAACCAACGCAAGGCAACCAAGGCAAACAAACACATGACTGACTGACAAGCATCGCATCGCTCGCTGTGTGGATCGATGAGTGAGTGAGTGAGTGACCTTGAAGACGTCGGCGCAGAGCTCGCGGTGGATCGACACGGGAATCAGACTGGTCAGTCAGTCAAGTCAGTCACAGTGGGATGGAAAAGAAAATATTTCCAGCATCTATGCCAGCCAGTGCCTGCCTGCCTGCCTGCCTGGATTGATTGATTGCGTGCGTGCCTACCGTACCTCGGTTCCACATACTGGATGAGTTGTATGAGTGTGGCCGCCACCAGGTGGCTGCCGGGGACGCTCACATGCGTACCTTAACCAACCAAGGAGGGAGGGAGAGAGAGAGAGATCCACCATCCGTTCGTCGAGGTCAGTCAGGTCGTTTAGTCGTGACCGCACTCACTCACTCACGCACCTCTCATGCAGGCGGCGCCCAGGACACAGACGATGACCTCGATGATCATCGGCAGGTAACCACGGGAGGCGATCGCATCGTACATCTTAGATACACACACACACACACACACGTGGGCGGTTGGTTTGGGCGGGTGGGTGGCTGGGTGCGTGGCGTGGGCTGGCCGGTTCCCTCCCCTCCTTACTCTGAAGTAGGTGAGGTCTGGGTGGTGTTTGAGTGAGCTGAGGTACAGAACGGCGAAGTCTATCGGGGTTTTGAGCAGGAATCGACCACTCAGAGTCTGACAGACCGCACACACCAGAGAGAGCTTCGTGAAGGGCTGGCTGGTGGGCGTGCGTGTGTGTGTGTGTGTGTTTACGTCCATGATGTCCAGTTGAATGGTTTTGACCTGGTGCACCGACCGCAGGTAGGGCGCCGCACGCACAAACGCTGACAGCTGCGGCACGGAACGATCCTCAAAATACTCCTACACACACCACATCAGCGCGACACATGCACATGAAGACGGAGGCATCGATTTGTGCGTGTCGGTCGGTCGGTGATGGGCTGGGCTGGGCTGAAAGTGACCTACCTGTAGTCCGGCGCCGATGAAGAGGCATGCGACGGAGAGGACGGGCAGGTGTGCCGTCTGGATGGGCTGTGTCGAGTACTTGAGGAACCGATCCAACGCATTCACCGACGTCAGAAACGTCTTCATCTGCCAACGCAAACTGAAGCAAGCAACCAACCAGCCAAACCAACGCCATACACACAACCGTGGTTACACACACAACACACACTGATCCCATGATTCCATCGCCGCCCTCTCCCTCCCATCCGTCAGCCATCCCCCCTGTGTGTACCTCTGGCAGACTTCGCTCATCCACTGCACGACTTTCCGTCGGTCCCGTGCGGTGATGGGTGCTGTGCGCATCGGCTGTGTGTGCGCGGGGCTGCCCTGACCCGCCGGCTGGTCAGTCGTGGTGGGCCCACCACCACCACCAGGGGAGCGTGATGGTGTGGGTGGCGACTGGTCCATCGACGCGTCACACATGTCGGGATTGATGGTGCAATCCACCTCACTGCGATAGCAACCTACAAGACACATCACATCACATACACACAGACAGGCGATGAGATGCGAGCGGCACCAATCCACCCCACCCACACCACACGTGTGGTGTGCCGCCCCGATCACGTGTAGGGGTGTCTGTCTGTGTGCGTACCCTTGATGGCGTTGGGTGCATCCCGGATGAGTTGTAGCTGCTCGGGGTCCATGAGTAGTGTCTCAGCGATGGCGTTGATCTCCCGCAGCACCTCGGCCGGCTGGTCGGGCACGCCGAACAGGTCTATGCCCGGGAAGGGCGACGAGGGGGTGGACGGGGTGCCGCTCATCGTGGGGGTCGACGGGTAGCCCAACAACATGCCTGCACTCTCCCCCTCCACCATCGCCGTGTCCTGCATGTGTATGTGCATCACAGTCACACCACACGGACGGACAGGAAGTCAGTAGGTCGTTGCAACCGCGGCGTTGTGATACATATCAGTCGGTAGCTCTCTTTCTTGTCTCACCTGTCCGGACGATACGGATGACCCACCATAGGATATGGCTCTAGTGATGCCGGGCTTGTGTGGGGGCAGGTGTGCGCACAGCGCAGCCGACTCGCCGAACCGCCCGCTACTGCCACCCTCACTGTCCTCCTCGCTCGATGTGCTCGACGGCGCACTGGTCGATGCCGTCCACTCGTGCGGCTTGTGGTCGTGGGTGTCGAGGTCCATCCCCATGGGGCTGGACCCTCTGTGGTGGGTGATGGGCACCGTGATGGGCTCGCGCACCGCCTGCAGGGTGAGGTTGGGGCGACGGCTGTGTGCCGACTGACCGGTGGGAATTGGCATGTCGGGGTGGTCCGACGACTGGCGAGGAGCGTCGCACTTGGGGGGTGCGGTTGCGGCTGTGTGGTCGTCGACGGTAAGGGAGATGCTGCGAGTGAGGGACAGCACCTGAGCACAGGGGGGGCAAACCACCCACGTGTGTGGATCCTCCGTGTGTTTCTTTCTTCCCCCTTTGCCCCGTGACACACACCGGTGCGCACCTTATCGCCGGTTTGTGTCATGATGGCTTTGGTCGACACCGACTTGCCCATGGTACTGTAGGCGCTATGGCTGCCCTGGTCATGCTTGCCCACCAGCAGATGTGAGTGGCCACCGTACCCATGGGTGCTGGCCGTGAGCTTGTGGGGCAGAATCTCCTTCCCATGACCACCAACACCAACCGCCCCCGTGCTGCGGTAGGGGCAGCTCTTGGCGTAGCCCGCTGACAGCACCGTCACCACGCCCTTGTTAGTGGTCGCCTCACCGGGATGCGTGACGCTGCGGATGTCGTGTGCAGGGCCCTTGCGGAAGGCACATGACAAGGCCTGCATGGGGCGGCTGTATGGGGCGCCCGGCTTGCCCTGGGTGGTGCCGACTGACGACTGCGCCGGCGGGACGGGCAGGTAGTGCGTCGAGCGGAAGGGCATGGCGGCAGGCGAGGCAGGGCGACCGGGTAGAAGGGCGAGGTGGACGGGCAAATCAAGGCGCCGACAACTCAAATCAGCCCTGCATGGACGGACGTCTGTCTGCAGGAAGGGAAGAGCAATGAGACACGATGTCTGCTGGTGCGAGTCATGCAGCCATGCAACATCTCTCTCCTCCCGTGCGGCTGGATCTGCGCATCATCGGACTGTCCCGCATCGCTCACCTGCTGCTGATGCAGGTCCTCGTGCTGATGAGCTGGCGTGGCCCGCTCGAAGATGAATCAGATCCTAACCGCCCACTATCTCACGCACACATCAGGACGTCCTCCATTCAACGTACTCGCCGGGAGGCTCTTATGTTGTGGAAACGCAACGCGAGCTAGCTGTCTGAGCTTGCAAGTGTAGAACAGAAGGAAAGGCGAAGGATCTGTGGGGACTGAGCCGTTAAGGCAATGAATGGCGTCACGTCACGCAAGCCTCCCCGCCGCAGAACTCATTTCACACGTACGCCATCGCTCGTGTGCTGTGCAAGGTGCTGTGCGCATTTTCCCCCCCTGATGTGTGCAGGTATTGGACGTGTTGGCTTGTTGTCCAACAGAGGATTCCAGAAGAACCAGGAGCGAAGTGTCAGGTACTCTCGGGAACAGCTACAGGCGTTTGCTTCAGGGAGAGTAGCTGTTCCCACCTCCAGAGCTGGCTTGACCTTGTCCGCCTATGGATAACGAAGACGAGGAAAGCGTTTCCTCGGACACACCTCGACACACCGGTGGGTGAGCTGACAGGGTGCAATCTCTGGGTGCTGAGCGCTCACATGCCTGACGTGTGCTATGCTGTGCAGGAGAAGGGCTCCTCTTTGTCGGGGACGTCTTCGATCAGTTTACCGACTCAGTCGACGCACTTGGTGGGGTATACAGACATGACCGGGGCGGGTGCCGAGGGAGAGGGCTGATGTGTGTGATGTGTGCTGTGTGTGCTATGCCATTCCCCGACCGACGGACGATAGGTACCGACCGCGAGATCCTCCACCGATGCATCGAGCTTTACGCCCCTCTCAACTGGCGCCTTCAGCGCCGCACCAAGGTCACCCACCTGATACTCAATGTGTGCCTCGGATGGAACGCCGGCACCCTGAGGCTGCACCCATGGCCGGCGGAGTCGCCTGTGGACCATGGTGGCATGCAACAGGGACCGCACCCACTGACGTCGGTGCTGATGGCGGGGGAGGATATATATGGCAATGGCCAAGGGAGCGAGGCCCGTCGGCCTCCTGTGGTTGCATGGGTGGACCCTTCCACCCTGCCCCCCCTAGCTGATCCCGTGGGTGAGATTATGGCCAAGATCACAGAGCAGTACCACAGCATCTGGAAGGACCGGGCTAAATTCCTCAAGTGAGCGAGCCGGCAGGGAGGGAGGGAGTTCCTTGAGGTGTTTGTCTTTATATTATACATGTCTTGTGGCCAGGGTTGAGAAGCCATTGGTGGATCCAACAGTGGACGACCTCAAGGGTGTCTGTCGACGCATTGGGGAGTCCATGCGGGCGCAGCGGGCTGCTCAAGGCAAGGCCAAGATCGGCCGCCGCATCTTCTTCCACTACACGGGCTGCGGCGCGCCCGAGCCAACGCGACAGGGCGAGCTGTTCTTCTTCAGACGAGACCCCACCGACCTCAAGGACCTCGGCGAGTGGGCGCCGCTGCCTGTGGCGTCGCTGCACCAGCTGCTGAGTCAGCCACATGTGGGCGACCAGCAGCCTGCCACCCCATCCAAGACACTGCCTTCCCCGCTGAGCGTAAACATCAACGTCCCTCTGACAGCCATCCAGAACGTCTACCTGCTGGACTGCCACTACGCGGGGCGCGTCATCGAGGCGCTGGACCAGTGCCA